CCTCCAGCTCTTGGGCTTAGGTGATTCTCTTGCCTCAGCCTCCCTAGTAGATGGGACTACAAGCACCCGCCACAACGCCTGGCTATTTTTGTTGTTGTTGTTGCAGTTTGGCTAGGGCCAGGTTTGAACCCGCCACCCTCAGTATATGAGGCGGGCACCCTACTCACTGAGCCACAGGCGCCACCCCAGGCTTTTTTTGTTGTTGTTGTAGTTCTCATTGTTGTTGGGCAGCCTGGGCTGGATTTGAAGCTAATGTATTTACTTAATTACTGTTAAATACAAGATTAAAATACAAGAATATTGCTCAAAAGAAGTCATTTATAAGTTTAGTGCCTAATGACATTTTGTGCTTTCCTGATTTAATAAATAAGGACACATTTTTACAGGAAATGGTGGTTTAGTAATCCTCTACTCCTAAAAGCAAGTCAGGCTGAGGAAGGACACCACATTCTCTGGTGGCACTAGGGAAAGGATTCCAATCCAGTAGAACTGACATTGTCTTGGATACCAAAAATGTTTGGAAAAAAAAAACAACCAAAAACAAAATGTAGCAGTAATGGAGAAAACATATTAAAGGAAAGAAATCAGACATAAAAGACCCCATACTGTTTGATTCCACTTATTTGAAAAATCCAGAAAATGGTCTGTCTACATTCACGTGGAAGGTTGCAGATTGTAGGGACCAATGACCCATCTTTGCTGAACATCCACAAGTATCTTTCACAAGTACAACACGCTCCCTTTCGAAACAACTGATGTAAGACTTCGTGAGGGGGGGCAGGGGGATATTTCCCACAGATGTAGATGGGGACCCAAATCAGACATCTACGGCAGGAAAGAAGAGAAGCTGGCCAAGTTGTGGTAACAATTCAGCTAAAACCAACTTCTGCTAGGCCGAATGAAGGTCCAGGGTAGCCAGTCTTTCTGATTTTTCGGGGGAGTACAGGAACTCTGGATTTTCAAAGTGATATCTCCAGAGTCTAAAACACTGGCAACTACTGCCAAAGTTTTATAAATGTGGGTCAAACAGACCCCTTATTCTTCGGAGAAAAAAAGGAAACCTGTAACGAAGAAATGAGTTTCCAAAAGACACACAAGCAGGTGGGGGGCGGCAGAGCCCAAGATTTCGATAAAGTTTTCGTGTGGAACGTAAAATACACTTACCCTTGGACCTACTCACCAAACCCTCTGCGCCTAGGCCCCAAAGGACAAAGGGCAAAGTCCCTGAATCCCCCGTCCGCCTCCCGCCCCATCTTCCTTGCCGCTCTCCGCGTAACACCCTCCATGCCCTGAGCGCATGGGTTCCCTGGCAGTCTTACAGCGCCATTACCTGCCCCGTCCCCCCACCGCCCGCGCTGCCTGTTGCAAGCCTGGCTCCCACTCTGCTCTCCCAGAGGGTGGCACGCAGACTCCCTGACATCGCACAGACTCCCGGCTCCATCGCGCAGTCCCGAAAACAGGTTGCCTAGGTCAGCATCACCCGTGGAGCCCGGCACCGAGTGACAGTCTCCAAGAGCACTTAGTCCCCTCCCGCACGCGGAACCGATCCCGGGGAACTCAGACCCGGGGCCCCAGCAAGAGCCAGGCGCGAGGCGCGCGCGCGGCACCGGGCTTTATTGCGTCACCGCGACTCCAGAGCGCGCGGCTCGATCATGAGCACTCGGCCGGCGCTTTCGCGCTTACGCATCTTCTTCTGCCAGGCGCGCGCCGCTGCCGCGGGGTTGACTTCGGGGTTGAGCTTCTTCTCCAGCATGTGCATGCGCGCCGTGGTCTCAGTCAGCATGTCCATGAGCAGTTCCTGCTGCAGCTTCAGGTAGTTGTTTTCCTCTAGCAACACCTGGTTCTTGACCCGGTGCACCTGTGCCTTCCAGCCTGCGATGGTTGGCGAGGGCAGCGGCGGCCGAGACCGCGCCAGCTGGCCCTCCATGACCCACCGGCCGCCACGGAACACAAAGGCCTCGTCGCTGAGGCGCGTGCGTGGCGCGCCGTAGCTGAGGCCCAGCTCTGCCTGGCGAGTCCGGTGGTCCAGCAGGTAGAAGGTGGACATGGAGGAGATACGACGCAGCGGCGGCCGCCGCGGCGAGAAGCGCCGCGAAAAGTGGTCGGCCCAGAACCGCCGCAGCTGCTCCCACAGGCCGCTGGCCTGGCTCGGAGCCAGGCACTCGAAGGCCGCCAGGGCGAGGGCCGGGTGGGCGTCGTCGGGCGTGCAGGTGCCGGGAAGCAGCGGGGACGCTGGCGACCCGGCTTCACCCTTGTCTCCGGAGCCCCGGTGTCCTGAATGATGAAGGCGAGCCAGGGGCACTGCTGGGGAGCAAGACTGTGGGTGACCAGCCTGCCCCGAACAGGCTTCGCCCTCAAACCCTGAGACCCAGTGGACATAGCTTAGCCCCGCAACTGGCGCTCGGAGCCAACCAACCACTGGCCACTGGGGAGCCCATCCCTCCACACTCACACCGGCAACAGTCTCACCAAAAGCACCTTCCCGAAAAACCACTTGGTGGGTGTTGGGCCCCGGGGATATATTATCCCCCTTCTCTGAGCTGCACCTGGAAGGGGTTATGAGTGGGGGGAGGGAAATGGTAACGGAGACAGGTATAAGGGGAGGAGCAGGACTCTGCCGGGTGGACTGGGGAAGGGAATGGAGAGCTACTAGACAAGAGTGGAGAGCCAGCAGGGCTTTCATGTTCCAGATGTGAGGAAGAGCTTGGATAGGATTGGTGTTGGGGTAGCGGAAGAGGAAGGCGGACCAGGGCACTGTGACAATGCTGTACAGGCAGGCTCAGAAGTTTAGACTTCATTCTACAGGTAAGAGGAAACCGCTGAAGGATTACAAAGCAGGGTTAGATTTGGATTCTGAAAAGAATCTGATGGGAGTATAGCATAGCCAACATTACTGCCCTCAGCATTATTTGACAACCTTGTACTGGCACCTACTCTGTACTAGGTCCAGTGGTCCCAGCACAAACTGTGCCTGCCCTCAAGATGCTTCTGGTCCATCTGGGAACTGTGGGTCCCAGTCCAGTGTGTTCAATGCCAGCCTGGAGCATGTGCCATGTGCTTAAGGTTTGAACAGGGGCTGTGCACATGACTTTTTTCCCAAGCAGTCTGCACCTTCCATATAACAAGCCACATTCTTCCCCCTTCCCGTCTAGTACACGCTGATTGTCTTAGGTGAGAAAGGAGCTACCTGCCTTTTTAAATTCGTCTTCTGCCATGGAGGGCAAAAAGAGAAGGCATTGGGGCAGGATTCCCTCTGTCTTGCCTTCATTAATTCAACAAACACTAATTTCTCACACGTAGCCAGGGCAGAGGATAGACAATACCATCCCCTAGATCTGGTTGAGGGTGACCCTCTCCAGAAACCCATATCCAGGCCCACCCTTAAGGTTGTCTCCTTCCAGAGGACCCTTCCCCAATAATCCTCACTGTATGCTGTGTCTCACCTGGAAGATGTGGAGGTGCCCAGCTGCTGTCCAGGCCTGGCCCCATCTCTGAGCAGTTTAGCTCCTGTCTACCTGCTGTGACTCACAATGCCTCCAGGCCAGCCCTGTCAGGGACAGAAGGGGTGCCAGTCACTGAGCTGTTAAACAGACCTTCTGCTCTTTCCTGCATACACTCTGACATTATTGAGCACTTACTGTGTTATAAGCACTGTTTTAAGGAATTAAAGATTTTCCTTCATTAGCTGTCATTCACTGATACGGGGTCAATAGCAGAATCTGAGACAGGAATATGTTTGCAGGAAATTAACAACGTAGTTCCTCATGAAGTTAACATAGGGTGTCGTGTGTTGCTTTACCTAGAAGCAGAGCCTACCATGAGCGTTCTTGTTGAAGTAATTTGTTAGGGAAGTGCTCACAGGAGAAGGAAGTAGGGAAGCAAGGCAGGGCAAAAGGCTTAAGCTGAGCAAAAGTGTGGTCTCAAATGGTGGCTGGCCTCAGTCTGATCTCCTGGGGAACTCTTGAGTACCAGGGGCTCCACAGTTAGGCTTCCTTAAAGCAAGAAAGCCAGTCTTTTGTACCCTCCCCCACATTTCCTTCAGTTATTGGCAGAAGCTATTGTGAGTTATCTCCCAACACTTACGGAACCCCCAGGATGGATGCACTACCTTTAATAGAGATCTGAGTAGGACACCCACAGCATAGAGGAGGAGGAAAGGGAATAGATGATTAAAAATGAAGGAAATTACTGAAAGTAAATTTCTGATTGTGGTACATGCAATGAAGAAATTAGGAAAAAAATTGGTATAGAAGGGACATTTCTTAAACTGATAGAGGCCATCTACAGCAAACCTACAGCCAATATTGTATTGAATAGAGTCAAACTGAAATCATTTCCACTCAGATCAGGAACTAGGCAAGGGTACCCATTGTCTCTGTTGCTCTTTAACATCATAATATAAGTTTTAGCCATCGCAATTAGGGAAGAAAAGGCAAT